TAAAATTTTAATTGAGTATTACTACAGTTGTTTTTTAGATGAAAATAGTTATTATTACAGTTATTTAGTAGAATGGGAAAAAGAAAGAGATGATGCTGTAACTTTTTTTGAGAATTTGTTTGAGGAATATCAAAGGTTATACGGCACTGTACAAGAAGAAACATCACCACCTCCGCCCCCGAAATCAAAAAAAGGTTTTGCCGGAATAGTCGGTGGTCTTCTTGCAAAGAAAGGGAAGCGTGCTCATTCTTCGACGAGTTCAAGTGGTACAACAGTAAGCTCGCACAACGAACTTGCTATCTACCACGGTGTGCCATGCGATTACGATGAGGACGAAGTGGATTTTGACGTGCTCGGATGGTGGAAGCGGAACGAACACATGTTCCCATGTCTCGGCATGCTAGCAAGACAAGTGTTATCCGTTCCGGTATCAACCGTAGCAGTTGAACGAGAATTCAGTGCTGGCGGCAACATTCTAACCGACTATCGAAGTTGTCTTAGCGCTGAATCTCTTGAAACACTGGTTTGCAACCAAGATTGGCTCTTGGCAAGACGTCGAGCTCAAGAGGCTTCGTACCAACTCGAATCGGAGCATTACATGAATGCAACAACAGATGGAAGTCCGAGTTCTGAAGAATAAGTTATAATTTTTTTATGTTAATGTAAATATGTAATTAGTTTTTTTAGGTGAGCGATATATAAGCTCCTTCGAGGGTTTCTTTACGGTTCTTTACCTCGTCGCTTTTTTTGAACTGTCAGAATATTAAATGTGGTTGTTCTTCAGTTACTTCATTTAAAATATCTAAATAACAACTACATTTTTAGATTTTTTATTTCGTTTTTTCCTTAAACAATTGCAAATTTAAATTTTTATACTTTAAAAATTTTAAAAATATCAAAAAAAAAATAGGGGGGGCGAAACCGGCCGGTCCGGTACCGGAACCGCCGGTCCGGGAACCGGAACCGGTACCGGCCGGCACGGTGACGGTTCCGGTGACATGGGGTGGCGGTACCGGAACCGGCGGTTCCGGAACCGGAACCGTACCGGAACCGTACCGTGTCCACCCCTAATGGTAAAGTTTAGAGAAGGGAGTATTAAGATTTTACCCTTATTTTTTTGGTTTTATGCACCTTTCATTTGTTGTATAAAATAATAATGGGTCACCTCTGTATGAGACTATTTGTACAGTATTGACTTTTTAAAAATTAAATCCGCAAACTTTGACTATTAATTTTATAAAATTGATATTATATATATATATATATATATATATATATATATATATATATAAATTGACAAACCTTGACCATAAATTTGATGATCTTTAGATATTATAAAATAGGCATGTCACTACTAGAACTTTTGATATTATTTTTAAAACTCCGTATATAAATAAATGTAAGTAGTATTTTTTATTTTTATACGAATTTGTAAATAAAATCATTTTACTTTCTCCGTCTCATACAATTCCTTTCACTTCGAACTTTTTATGTCAAATTTTACAATTCATCACCACAAATTTTGAAAAAGTATATTATGGAGTACTCCCTCCGTCCCAAAAAGAATAGGACGGTTTGACTTTTTGGGAAATTCAGGGAGAGATATTTTGGTATTGATTTTTCAAAAATACCCTTGACGTGATGGATAAAAGTAGGATGTGATTGGTAGATTATTAGGAAAAAGGTATGATGTGATAGGTAGGGTATGAAAAAGTAAGGGATAAAAGTGGTTTTTTAATAGAAATGTAACGGACTTTACGGGACGCAGTTTTTTCTAAACATAACAAACTTTTTGGGACAGATGGAGTATAACGTAAACATTGTATACATTTTAAGAACGTAACCAACATTGAAATATCAAATTTTTTATCATTTATTCATTTTTAAATCTTCTTAATTTATGGTGAAAGGATTGTATAGCAGTATGGTCGGAAAAAAATTGAAGGAAGAGATAAAACAAAAGAAATAGATTTTACACATTAGAAATAGAACACTTTTGGGATGATAATGCTCTAGCCGAGTCTAAGGTAAGTCCTACAATTTGAATTGGAAAAAAAAAAGTAAATAAGAATAAGGAGAGAATATGCAAAAATCACTGGCCAACTTGAATCTACAATAATAATAAAAATGACACCCCCTAGAATAATAAAATTGATTAATTGGAGAACAGGCAAAAACCACTGTGCTAAATAAATTGAACCTCACTGTTCATCAGCAAGAGTAGAAACTCTCTCATCATCTCTAATATACTTCTTCCAGTACCAGTGCTTCTTCCAAGCCCTCTCATTCATCTCATCAATGGGGATCCCCTTTGTCTCAGGCAAGAAAAAGCACGAGAAGACCCCCATGACGACGATCCACGCCGCGAAGAAGAAGAAGGTCCACGCCTTGAGGTGGCACATCATCGTGAGGAACGCCTGCGCGATGGCGAAGGTGCAGACCATGTTGGCGCTCACCGCGAAGAAGAACCCCGCGGTCCTGGTCTCGAGCGAGAAGATCTCGCTCGGGATCAGCCACCCGAGCGGGCCCCAGGACCACGCGAAGCCCGCCACGAAGACGCAGATCACGATCAGCAGCATGACCGCGTAGTGGCTCGGGATGGCGTCCGTGGAGTGGAGGTGCTTCATTAGGATCGCCCCGGCGAGGCACTGGCAGACGAGCATCTGGAGGGCGCCCTCCACGAGGAGGAACTTCCTCCCGAGGCGGTCCACGAAGCCGATGGTGATGAAGGTGGCGGCGGCGTTGACGCCCCCGGTGATCACGGAGGATATGAGGGACGCGTCGGCCCCGAGGCCGATGGTCTGGAACAGGACAGGCGCGTAGAACATGATCACGTTCATCCCGGTGAACTGCTGGAACACCGCGATGATCGTGCCGCAGAAGAACTGCGGCCGGTTCGACCGCTTCGTCATCAGGTTGGCGAACGGGTGCCGGATCCCGCGGGCCGCCTCCGTGGCCCGCAGGATCTCGCCGAGCTCCGCCTCGACGCTGTCCGTGCCGCGGATCCGCCGGAGCGCGTCCCGGCCTTCCTCCGTCCTCCCGCGCTCGACCAGGCTGGTGGGGGTCTCGAGGATGGCAAGGGAGCCGAGGCCGAGGATGAGCGCGGGGATGGCGGCCCCGCCGAGGGAAATCCTCCACCCGTACCCTCCGCTCATCTTGGAAGTGAAGTAGTTGATGAAATTGGCAAAGAGAATGCCGATTGTGATCAGGAGTTGAAAGCAGCTGTTGAGGGCTCCTCTAATCTTCGGTGGGGCCATCTCCGATATGAACAACGGCACCGCCTACAAAACATGCATATGTACACACACGCACCATTATTATCACTTTTCTAATCCATTAGGTCTACATTCATTGTTGTTCAATATATCAAAAAAATCATAAGACACTTAATATGAAATAGAAGGAGTAATAAATCACTTCTTTTTTCCTATAATGCGAAACGAAGAGAGTACATTGGAAAAAATGAATCTAGACATGCAGTACGTCTAGATTCATTCGTTCTTCAATATATCAAGAAAATCATAAGACAGTACGAAGAGAGTAGATGATTATATTACCTGGTTGCCGAAGCCGACGCCGATGCCGAGGCAGAGGCGTCCGGCGATGAGCATGGCGAGGTTGGCGGCGGCGGCGTTGAGGACGGCGCCGACGAGGAAGAAGAAGGAGGCGGACTGCATGACGGGCTTGCGGCCGAAGGCGGTGCAGAGCTTGGAGGCGACCCAGCTGGCGACCATGGCGGCGAGGTAGAGGGAGGAGGTGAAGAGCTGCAGGTACTGGTCGTTGAACTTGCAGTAGTTGTCCTCCTTCGCCGCGTGCTTCTTCACGTACACCCCCGGGAAAAACTTCTTCAGAAAATCGTCCATCGACGTTACTCCTCCTGTAAATATATATATATATATATATATATATATATATATATATATATATATATAAGACCAGATAATCACGTACTACTCAATAAATTGATTCATTCATATAAAAGTCCAAAAAAAAAAGATTTTTTGTTCTTAGGAGTACATTTTATTGGTCCCAAAAAAAAATTCAACTTTCAATTAAAATCTCACTTTTACCTCCATATATACTTCCAATTAATTAATCATCACATCATATTCTATCATATTACTTCATTTACTTCTTTTTCTTATTTTTATTGTCTTCATATCACATCTTGTTATACTTAAAAATATGTAAAATTTTCAAATTCTACCTCAGTTCTCAAATAAAATTTATAAAAAAATATTTCAGACATAGGAATTAAATCGGAGTGAAAAGAGTAAAAAAGAGCTAAATTAGAAAGCAAAACTAAAATCACATACTCTCCCGTCCCATAAAGTATTACCCATTTTGACTAAAGTAGAAATTAAGGGAGGGATAATTTTGTGTTGGCTTTCCAAAAATACCCTTGATGTGATAGGTAAAAGTAGGAGGTGATGTGTAGATTATTAGAAAAAAGGTATGATGTGATAGGTAGGGTTTGAAAAAGTAAAGGGTAAACGTGGTTTTTTAATAGAAATGGGTAGGAGATTGTGGGACACAATTTTTTTGAAAGGTGTAAATCTTTTTGGGACGGAGAGAGTACTTTTTAAGATCTCTTCAATATACATACCTGAGATACCAATGTCGTAGCCAAACATGAAACCGCCAAAGGCGGCAATGATGCAGCATATGAATACTTGACGTGTGAGCCTGGCGGGAATGTCGACGGCGGCCCCCTTCTCGGCGGCGACGATATTGACGGCCGGCGGCATGATTTGTATGTATATGTGTATGTATAGTAGTAGCTGATGATAGATTGATAGATAGACCTCTGGTCGATTTAATTATATATGGGTATTATATGCATGGCCTGACATCCTTTTATAATTAACGTATTGTGGATAAATACGATATTAGATGAGATAAGTTCATAATTAATCGATCAAAACTAAATAAATCCCTAATTATTTTCCTAGATGATAGGAATTACTAACCTGGTTTGACTGGTTATGCTCTTATCTTTTTTTCAAAAAAATAAAATAAATAAACTGGATATTATTGAGGATGTAGGCCCCACCACGTCGAAGTGATCTAAACTTGCAAGGTTTACTCCGTAAAAAAGTTAATGCTTAAACTACTTTGAGTTCTGAATTTTTAAACTTTTGATTTACGGAGTATAATTAAATAAAATGTATATTGTATAGTAATTATATAAAATAATGTTTTGAAAATATTTAATATAATAAATTTAATAAAATTATTTTTGTAATAATATCTAATATTATTTTTATTTAATTTGGGGTCAAAATTTATCAATTTTGACCGAAAAAAGTCTAAAGTGGACAAATACTCAGATATAAAATGAATAATACGATTTATTTTATCCCAAAAAAATTGCAAGAGTATTTTGTCTTTTTTAACGCAATTAAAATAAGTAGTGCACATCTATGTAAAAAACATAGTTACAAAAATATTTTTACGCGAAAGAATGATTTGTGGTCGTCATTCAGGATATTGGCCAAAGGATAATTACTACGGAGTATCTTGGATAAAAGATAACTTTATTAAATCTGGTAATAATTATTCAAAGCGTTAAAAAATTGTAATTTTTCTCGCATATGCAGGCTTTGTTTAGTAACAGTGTTTTCGATTAGCGTTAGCGTTTTGGATAAAAATTTAACGGTGCAGATTAATTCTGAAAACGCTAAAACTAAAGGCTACCGTCAAATAGCTTTTTCGAAACGCTAACGCTAATCTCTGACGCTGATGTCAAACGGGGCCGCACTCCATGTTTGAATTGGGAATAACACTTTTCTAATGGATTCGTATTTTGTACTCCCTCTATCTCTTGCTCACATTTACTTTTCTAGTTTCTCGATAATTTGTGTTTGTTTACATATTTTTATTGATCATTTGATATGATAATATATTATTCACAGTTCTTATTTTATCAAAGATATCATTTGATAGATAAATTTAGATGTGTTTTTTAAATATATAATTTGTACTTTTTATTTGTATACCAAAATGTAAATAAAAATATTTCCTCCATTCCGTAAAATATTTCTTGTTTTCATTTTTGAGAGGGACAAATGTAGAAGCAGGGTTGGCCCGGGGTGGGCCGAGCAGCCTCACCACGAGCCCAATTTTTTAGGGGGGGCAATTTTTTTAAATAATATATATATATGTGTGTGTGTAAAAATTATGAAGCCCAATATTTTAAGGATAAAATGTAAATTATTAAAATCCAAGAGTCATTACAAAGTATAACTACGAAGTAAAAATACAATGCACCGGGGCACACCCCTATCAAATCAAAGACAACTCATATCAAGCTAAAGGAAAAGCATTAACTAGCACAATACAATAGGAAACGTAGATGATTCACCCTTCTGGTCTCTCATAGTGTTTTATGTTGTAAGCGGCTACTTCCTTATGCACATTATGGCTGTCCGCAATCTTTTTGTTTTCAGCATCATAAAGCGCCTTTTTTTCCCTCCAACGCCGCATGAAATCGGGGCTATCAGACTTGGGAGGCTGCACCACCTTGAACGGCGGTTTTCATGCCTTGGGTACATCTTTGGGCGTTGCATTGCCTTCCTTACCAGCGTTTGGCAGCACTGGTGTGTCCCCCTGTCCAGCCGTAGGTGCAGCAGTTTTAGCCACTAGAATGGCAACGACAGCATCCTTTGGTGTCGTGGAGGAGGGACCGGCGACAAGGCCGTGGGTGTCAAACTTAAGTACTTTGGCACATTAGAAGATATTTCATCCACTTGAGCTACTAAATACTTTGGAGTATGTATTATGTAAATTATGTAGCATGATATATATGGACTATGATGATTCAATAAAACTTGTAATTATTTAGAAAAAGAAACTCAAGTGTATTCAGTATACTTTTTTTATGAACTTATAAAAAATAGTTTAATAAATAAATAAATAAAAATTGTTTATGCTTTATCCGAGCTATGGGGCTAGAAAACTAAATGTATCAAAAGCAAATTAAATAAGATAATAAAATTTTCTCGTGTTTGGCCACTTTGAAACTAACCCATGCCATTATCCCTGATCCTAGTAAGCGGGGATACGCTTGTAAGCTAATTAAGATCCACACAAACGTGTTCTCCATGTCCACTCAAATGAAGAATATCGGTTGGCCGTATAATAGTTCTTCCTTCAAGTTGTTCCGTTAGAAAGTTCACAAGAGCCTCCTTAATTGAAATCCCTACCCACTTTAAAACATCACATAGAACATCTTTGACAAAATCATGCTTGTATTTAAACCCATGTAACTCATTGCAATAGACCGCATTCTCACCAAAGGTATTTAAACAAACTAGACACGCTTATCAATTGGAAACATATATCAATAATCAGTACTTACAATAATACTTTGTATTTAAAAGTAAGAGAAAAAATAAAAATCAAAGGTTGGTCTTATTTTTGAGGATTGTAGCGTCATTTTGTCTTCTAGGCCTAGTATTTCAATTAGGAGTGGGCAAACGGGTCAAGGAATCGAGAGTCGGAACTGAACCACCAGGTTCGGTCCGGGTTAGGGGCGGGTCCTCTTTTCAAAAATTTATAACGGTCCGGGTCGGTCCGGTCTTTATAGATTTTAAGGTCGGTTCGGTTCCCCATTTTGAAATTATATTAATGTATTGGTCTGGACCTTTTTTTGATACCCCATTATTATTTTTAGTAAATGCATCGGCCTTAGCCTTACGATCGAGTTACGCCCTTCAATCTTTCGCAGTAGTCAGAGAGTCGGAAGTCGCCAAACAGTTTGTTGTTGTTGTTGGATGATCATGGGGTGTACTTTACTCTCATGCCTCTCTTTGTCATTGTTTTATCTTCATTTATGCCTCTTTTATGTGTTGGATGACTTAAAATTGACAATGGAGATAATACTTTGTTGTGGATAAATGGTGAATGACCGTCTATGTATTATTAATTTATTATTCTTTATTTTTTTAATATTAGTATCATGATAGGTTCGGACCCGTTGACCCGTGGAATCGGCCCGTTTCAAACAAGCCGGATTTGGTTCAGTTTCAATTTTAAAATTTTGAAAAACTATTCCGGTCCAGCCCGTTTTAATAAAAACAAGCCGAGTCCAGTTTATACAAATCTTGGCTCGGACCGGCCTATGCCCACCCCTAATTTCAATTGCTTGGACTCGTATGAGCTCGAATGTGAGTGGGTATTAGGGGTGTTCATCGGTCTAAAACCGGACCGGAACGGACCGAAAACCGAACTATGCTAAAACCTAGACCGAAGACCGGACCTAAATGTAGTTGGTTTTGGACCGGACCGACCCGAAATCTTATGGACCGAATCGGTTCAGACCGAAAAGACCGAATCCAGACACAGAAAATTGATTCTTGATTTTTTTGAAAGGATTGATTCTTGATTTTAATTTTGATGGAAAAAAGGCATTTCAGACTTCATAATCTAGAGCCCAAACACATACACTGATACGCAATAAGCTTCATAATCCAACCACAATTAAACCGAAAGTGGATAAAATTAAAATAAAATTGAAATCAATTTTGAAATATATCAAAAAGAAATTAAACCGAGTGAAAGGAATTCCGTAACCTATGATGGAAATCACTCAAAAAAACATCTTCTGCTCCGATGTTTGCCGATGTCGAGGTAGTGTAGTCACTGCAGCAAATTAGGGTTGAAGGAACATGCGATGAGGATGATGGGAGATGAAAATGAGGGTTGATAATCTGAAGACAAGGCCGACTGCCGTGAAGAAGATGAGGCTTTGGAGAAATAAGATCTGACAGGAGGGTGGGGAGGTTGTTGGATAACTTGGATCTACTAAAGTTACAGAGGGGAATAGCCGATCGAATAGGGGAGGAAATACGAAGTTAATGAATATTGTCGGTCATTTCGGTCTGGACCGAATGACAATCGGGTATGGACCGGACCGGACCGAAATCCAAAATTCTAAAAATTCTGGACCGAAAACCGACCCGAAATCCATTCGGTCCGGGTTCGGTCTGGACCTATCGATCCGGTTCGGTCAGTTTTTTCAGTCTGCATCTAAACATGAACAGCCCTAGTGGGCACTTGTTACCTAGAGCCTCCATTCGCGTTTGTGGTTTTAAGATTAAGGTTGAGTGTCCTTCTTGGTCATTTTCAAGCTATCAATGCACAAAATCTTGTTTTCTCTTTCAAAAAAAAAAAGTACTTCGCATAAACTATTTGGGAATTATTAAAAAAATACTCATCCGTTACCTTAAAGCTATCTTATTTACTATTCAAGGCATCACGATAACTTTTGTTTGCGTGTGTTTTTCATTAGTCATTTGACAAGATGAAACATTTTTATCACTATTTGTTCTATAAAATTTTTGATATAATTTTTAAATATGTAAAAAATATAAGGTGTTGCACATAAAAACGATATATGAAGTCTTTTAAAGAACGAAAGGAGTACTTCTTATGAAATTTAAAAAATATAAAAGTAACATTCTTTTCAATATTTTGCATAAATTCTTTTCCAACATTTTGAAAATCTTTTCAAATATCAATAATTTTTTTCAACATTTACCAATTTTCTAGTTCTTTCAATTTCTTTTGGAACTAATTCAATTTTTTGTTAAAATCATTTCAAACAAGTTATAAATTCTAAATAAAGAAGAAAAAAAAGAACAAAAAAATAAAATACTGGAGTAAATTCCAAAATAGTCCTTTGTAATTGAGATTTATTCCCAAGTCCTTTGTATGTTTTAATTACCTACGTGATCCTATATAATTGAGATTTATTCCCAAGATGGTCGTTCGTAAATAATGTTACTCTAATGAGGATTAATTGAGGATATTTTGGTATTTTTATCTGCTAAATTTAGAATTAATTCTTAAAATGATCATTTATAAGGAGGTGCTTTCACAACATGATTTTTTATAATTAAAGATATGTATTTGATTTAAAATTTAAAAGATTTTTTATAAGTTTTAAATAATTCTTGAATTATTCAATGTATTTTTTTTAATTTTACATTTAGTTGTACAAAAATAACTTTTTTGAGAATACACTAGCCAAGGATTATCTTTGAAAAATACTGCCATTTTTTGAAATACCAGCACTCCAGCAGCTTCGTCCTAAAAAGAGAGAGAGAGGAAGGAATCCAATTGTCCGAAACCCTACCCCTCTTACGCCGCTTCTTCCGACAGCGCCGGCCACTCCGCGCCGTCCTGTCGCCGCACCGCCACCCTGTTCGTATTCTCTCTCTGTTTTTCTCTTCTTCAGCTGAGTTATGATTGCGGTTACTTCTTGCCTCTTGTTACCTTTAATCCGTATTTTATTTATATTTTGGCGATCAGATGCTCGCATCCTGTTCCTACGCAAATGCGTTACCTTTCTGTGAAGTGTGCTAATATTTTTCTGTTCTCTTTTTGCTGCGGTTTCTGCTCAGTTCCCGGCTGTTAATCTTGCTCGCCGCTTATGTACATTACATTTCAAAACTGCAAAGAAAATAAAACAGAATACAGAGAGCAATTGTTTAATTATTGTTTAATGCTAGGCCGTATTCATGAATAAAGAAAACAATAAAAGAGAATTCAATTGATGTTAGGCAATTTTTTTGGGATTGTAATTCAATTTAGTTGATTGATTTTGTTGTGAACATTGATTTTTTTTCCAAGGGGAATCATTGCTTATGTTTTTCCATCACTCGATCTCTATATTCTCTACAAACCCTGGAGTTTCTGTGTTTTTTTCCTCTAAATACAATAAGGCACACTTCTGCAGGTCTGCACCAAAGAAGCTTCATTCGAGCTGTTAAACAAGTTTCCCGGGGTAAAAGGGTGAAGTGTGATATCTTGGGGTCAGTCGGAAGTCGAGGTTGAGTTTCTTTTCATTCTCGACAAAATGGCAAAAGAAATGAAGGAACTTCAATTGCATAACACCAAGACGAAGCAAAAGGAGGTGTTCAAGCCTCTAGTCGAGGGCAAGGTTGGAATGTACATCTGCGGTGTCACAGCCTATGACCTCAGCCACATTGGCCATGCTCGTGCCTACACTGCTTTTGACGTACTCTACAGGTATAAGATTGTGCGCTTCTAATGTTCCCTGTTAGGTGAAAGTTGTGTGTTTATTTTCCACAGCATCTAAAATCTAATTTTGAACCATAGTTGTTAAGGCGTTGCCTAGGCGACAATTTGGCGTCGTGGCGCTCGGCTTTTCTCTCCATGTGTGTTTAATGTTTATAGTATTATTTTTTAAACTATGTTTATTTGAATTTTTTTAAGAGAACCGTTTCTAGAAATTTAAAGTTTATGATCTACAATATATAATATGATATATTAATATTTCTAATGTACAACAGTTCATATCTATTATGTGTCGCCTAATTGTTACCTAGGTGGCCGCCTTGTCAACACAGCATCCTGGCAGTACACTACACTGGCACCTTGCCTTGCCTTGGCACTGTGACAATTATGTTTTGAACTATATATTATGCCGAAATTTCTTTTGGCGAATTGGTGTTAATTGTTACATAGTATTTTGTCATTTATTAAATGTGTCTTTATCATTATTTCAATATGTCTTAGTATTTTATTTTAAATTTTAAATTTTAAATTATCCCTCTTAGAAATACCCTAATTTATTATTGGCAATTGGAATGCTACAGATATTTGAAGCATATTGGCTACGAAGTTACCTATGTCCGCAATTTCACTGATGTCGATGACAAGGTGAGAAGTTACCTACGAAGTTACATAGTATTTTGCTCGTTGTACTATACCATAAAATTGACTTAAGTCTGCAGTATTTTCTGGTTTCTAAAAATTGGTATTTTTAGATTATTAGGCGAGCAAATGAGCTTGGGGAGGATCCTGTAGCGTTGAGTGCTCGGTTTTGTGAAGAGTTCCTAGCTGATATGGCTGATCTACAGTGCCTTGTTCCCACCCATCAGCCACGCGTGAGTGAACATATGGACCAGATTAAGGACCAGATAGCTCAGGTATTTCACTTTACAAAATTCTATACTTTTCCAATTGTTGGATAAGATATCATTTTCAGTTTTTGTGGTCAAATGGGCTGTGCATGTACATGAATGTGGATATCGGCATGAGTGTCCTGTCACTCCTGTGTAGCGTTTAATAATCTGTAACCTGATTTGCTCTGCAGATTATAAGCAACGGATGTGCATATGTTGTTGAGGGTGATGTTTACTTCTCTGTTGATAATTTCCCATTATATGGCTGTCTCTCTGGGCGTAAGCCAGAAGATAATTTAGCTGGCAAACGTGTTGCTGTTGATGACAGAAAGCGAAATCCTGCTGATTTTGCACTGTGGAAGGTTAATCTGGCTTTCCATAATTACCTTTTTATATGTTCATTGGATTATTATTATTATTTTCATTATAGCATGTTTGAAATTCACTTCATTTTCCGTTCAGGCTGCAAAGCCCGGGGAACCAAAATGGGACAGTCCTTGGGGCCCTGGAAGGCCAGGATGGCACATAGAGTGCAGTGCAATGAGTGCACATTATTTGACGCACTCCTTTGATATTCATGGTGGTGGGTCAGATTTGCTATTTCCCCATCACGAAAACGAGGTTGCTCAGAGTTGTGCAGCTTGCCCTCAGAGCAATGTCAAGTACTGGGTACATAATGGTTTTGTAACTGTAGCTGATACAAAAATGTCAAAGTCCCTTCGAAATCACTTAACAATTCGAGAGGCAAGCATTGCTAATTATAACAAGTTTAATTTGATATTATAATGGAGTTGCAAATTGATCTTTTTGTTAAAAGTTCCACTTATAGGTTACGGAGAAGTATCATCCACTCGCCTTAAGACATTTTCTTATGGGAACCCATTATAGATCTCCTATTAATTTCACATTCTCTGAGTCAGATATTTCATCAGAAGCTGTGTTCTACATATATCAGGTTAAAAACACTAGAGTGTTTCGTAAAGTGTTGATTAAATCCTATTTTGCTTTGTTATGCATGAATGCTAAATATAAACTAAAGCCCACATGTTCAGACCTTACAAGATTGTGAAAATGCACGATCAGCATTGGAAGAAGAGGCTGAAAAAGATGGAAAAATCAGCTCTGCTGCTCAAGAGAGCATCACTAAACTACGCGAAGAATTTGAGGCAAAATTGTCTGATGATTTGCACACGCCAACAATACTTAATTCCTCTCTTCAGGAAGCCCTAAAATTTATGAATAGTTATATAACCACGCTCAAGGTAATAATGCTTCTTTCTGATGATTGTTCTTGGGTCTTGATTTGTTTTGTGGTCTGAAATATCCATTTCTCCTCAAATCTATACTAGAAGAAACAGCCAAGAAAACAACAACTATCCATTGTGAGGTCTCTATCTGAGTTGGAGAAACAAGTGAAGCAAGTTTTAGATGTTCTAGGTTTGCTGTCAAAATCAAGTTATACTGAGGTACTTCCTAACCTATTTTCCCTCATTTTTCTCAATTACTACTTGCCGGTGCAAACATCTTGGGGATGGGCCGAAAGTTACACATTAAACCAGTTGATCTCTATTTTAATATTGGGAGATAATACTAACAACAATAATAATTCTTTTGTCAACTTTTTTGATAAACCAATACACTAGATCATTTGATCTCTATTTTTGCGGAGTATAATGATAATAACCCCTCTTTGATTAATGCTTAAGAGGTTTCTCCATACATTAAATTGAATTCTGATGCCTACAAGCTACTCCATACAATTTAAGATTCTATAGATTTCAAATACCAATCATTGTTCTGAAATTTCCATATAATTCAATATTTAATAAAAAATTAATGATATAGATTATGACTTTATTTTGAAAATGTATCTAAATTTCCGGCTATTGGACTTTTAAGTAGTGAGTTTTGATTTAATCATTTATTTCTAGTCTGAATTCTTTACCATCCACACTTTTGATATAGTAGATTGCTATTGCTATTGCTATTGTCATTGTCAGGGTTAGCGATATTGTTAGCGTTAGCGATAGCATTTGCTTTAGCATTAGCGTTAGCGTTATTGTTATTGTTAGCATTAGCCACACCGGCTTAAACACTAACCTCACCCCGTCTACTAAATTCACTCCATGCTTTTTAAATTTATTATATACTCACCCCTGTTTTGGACATTAAATACCCCTAGTGTGTTGGTATTAATTCTACAAGTTCACCCCACTAAATTCAAACCATAGGATTCAACATCTTCAGTCTAGGTATTATAACAATTAACCATATTATAAACTAAATAAAAAACAAATTAAGTATGGAAAATCAACTTTGATGCAAAAACATACTCCATAGTAAAAAAAATTACAACACATAAATTGAAAGTGAGACAATGGGTTTTTAATCAACTTAAGCTGTATAGCACTCATGCCAAAAACACAACACAGATTGATTAAAATTAAGAGGAGGTGGACCTAAGAGGACTTGGCAAACATTGATCAAGGGAGACCTTCGCATGAATGATCTCACAACAGATATGATATATGATAGGGCGCAATGGTATCATTTGATCCATGTAGCCGACCCCACCTAGTGGGATAAGGCTTGGTTGTTGTTTGATTCTTTAAGTCATACGGAGTATGGCTCATGCCAATTTTTTGTGTGGAGGATGACCGAGCAGGAATAAGTTCGCATGAAAACTACTCTGTGATACTGAACCAAAATTGAAAAAAAGATTTAGTTTTTCAAATAATTAGAGAATTTGCAAAGGTTCAATGAAGAACAAAACTGCGGCGAAACATCTTTGAGTAACTTTGATCCTGAGCAACCATAGAAGTTAGCAGAGTTGAAAATTGAAATTCACAGCCGCAATGTCTAGAGATGAAAACCGAAGAAGGCAGACGGCGTTAAAAACTTTAGCTAATACTCTGTAATCCGTATTTCTACATTAGGTTTATGGAGTAGATTTAGTGATTTTTAAAGGGATTAGGTTATATATTTCTCTTTTCATTTGATCAAAAAGTCACTGTTAAACTGGGGTGAGGTTAGTGGTTAACTGGTTGTGGCTATCACTACCCTAATGTTGTTGTTGTTGTTGTTGTTGTTGTTATTATTATTGTTGTTGTTGTTGTTGTTGTTATTGTTCAGGTCTTGCGGCAACTGAAAGAGAAGGCTTTACGACGTGCTAAGTTGTCTGAGGATGATATTGTGCATTTCATTGAAGAAAGGATGGTAGCAAGGAATAACAAAGAGTTCTCTAAGAGTGATCAGATTAGAAGTGATTTGGCTGCCAAAGGAATTGCATTAATGGATGTTGGAAAGGAAACCATTTGGAGGCCTTGTGTGCCAGCCCAAAAAGATAAGCCCGCTGAGAAGCCAGTCCAGCCCACCCCAGCTGCTGCGACCACGGAGAAGGAGCTGTAAGACAGCTCAGCCCTCAGAGTTACAAACTAAATAGCTGTTATGTTTGTGATATTATTCGTCCGTCCATCGTGCGCAAATGTGTATTTTGCAACAAGAAAAAATTCTTTCAAGAGTTAGAAGAGCATATCTCTTGGAGTGTCCATTGGACTAAAGATTTTGGCCCATGAACTCAAAATTGCCGAGTCAAATCAAATATATAATATACACAATATATACTCCGTAATGTTTATGCTAGACATTCCATTCAATATTTTTCCCTATCCATTTTTCCTCCCTTTGTATTACAGCAAATAATTTGTTTGTCTCAATCAATTATCACTCCGTATTAGCAATATGTTACCCTTTTAATGACCCAGTCAATTATTTGCTACATTTAGCAGCAACAACGCCTTATCCCACTAGGTGGGGTCGGCTACATGGATCAAATGATGCTATTGCGGCCTATAATGTACCATATCTTCAGTGAGATTATTCATGTGAAGCCATCCCTTGATCACTTTGTGCCAAGTCTTCTTATGTCTACCACTTTTTATTTTAGCCACATGTTTAGTCATCATTTGATCAACCCTTCTCACTGGATGCTCTCCTTGTCTTCTCTTCACATGTTTAAACTACCTAAGGTGAGTTTCCGCCATCTTTTCTACAATAGTTGTCACTCCAACTTTAGCTTTCATATTTTCATTTCTTATTCTATTCATATGTGTATGACTGCAAGCATTTTTAGTTTGGCTACACTAATGTTGTGTTCATGTTCACTTTTGCTGTCCAACAATCTGTTCCACAAATATCGTTGGTCTAATCGCAGTACCATAATATCTCCCCCTTTAGTTATAAAGGTACTTTTTGTCACATATGAAGCCGAAGCACTTCACCATTTTGACCGACTGGGTTGAATTTTGTGGTTAACATCACCCTCTATTTTTCTATTGTCTTGAATGATACACTCAAGATATTTAAATCTCTTTACTCGTAGTATAGTAGTCTCTGACTTTTGCCTCGATTTTACTATTTCTCCTTCTGTTGCTAAACTTCTACTCCATGTCTTCATATACTCTGTTTTAGCGCAACTTATATGCAAGCCATGCAACTCTAAAGATTGTCTCCACAAATCTAACTTCCCATTTGAACTCTCTCGTGATTTGCCCATAAGGATAGTGTCATCGGCAAAAGGCATGCACCATGGTACAGGTTCTTGGATAGTCCCACGTTTTTAGTTGTTACCATCTTTTGCTAGATTAGTGGAATATTAAAATTTACTAATTGTTTGAAAAACGATTATTTTTAAAATATTTCAACGGAATGTTCATTTATTTATTTTTGTTTATCTTCTTTCAAAGATAACACTTTGCTAAAACACTTCTAATTGGTCAAACATCACATTCACATAAAAAAGCTCTTCGCCTTTTGCCCACCAAAAGCACCCCAATTAGGTTATTCCCAAACACCCCCAAAAATTGTTTCATCCCTTAACTCATTTCAACATCCAATCAGGGAAATATTTCTCTTGCAGTGTAGGGATGTTTTGGGAGAGTGGATGCAGATGCAGCCCCAAGTAGACAGAACCCATTTGTATACAACCTAGCCAAACATAGAGTCTCCAAATATCTCCTGATATCAAATTTCGAGAAAGACCAAAGTAGAACTAAAACATTGAAAATATACTAAAATATGACTTTCATTTTTTATTTCCGAAATAGGACTTACATTACCAAAATGGTCATATACATTATCAAAAAAGTATAGTACTCTGTAATGTGCACATGTACACTGCCACATTACCACAATGCAAAGTCACATTACCACAGTGCAAAGTCCTATTTCGGGGAAAAAAAACATGAAAGTCCTATTTTGGTACTTTTTCTCTATGTTTTAGTCCTATTTAGGATGATTTCTAAATTTCTTTTTGGTGTTTGGTGAGACATAAAAAGAATTCGAATCCGATATCTCAAGATATCACAAATTTTCTTAATGGAGGGTTTCAATATCTTCTGAACTTGAGAGATTTCAATGTGGGGATTTGATATCTCCTTCAAATATTGATTATCCCGCCACAAGTTATTACTGTCACGGCCAACCACCCTTGTGATTGGCGACCCCCGCCAATTAGTAATTAAACTATGATTTTAAATCTCTTTAAACAACTTCATTTTAGATTACGAAACTCATATCATTTCTCTCAAATTTTAGAATCTATATCACATCAGATTTCCAAAACTCACCAAAGAGACCTCTAGAGCTTATGAAATCCCCACCTTTTCATGATTTGTTTCTCAAAAATGGCTGTGCTCAACAAAGATTTAGATCTATCTCCAAGGGCATCATGTATAATTGGTAAGCTAAATCATTATTTAGACTATGAATAGTGTTCTAACTATGGGCGCACTCTAACAGCATCGTGCATATAGCTATATTTATAATTTTTTTAATGGTTATTGTCCGACAAAAATCCACCCACCAAACCATGAATCATTCCCCACCACAAATATGAAAATAACTTTTCTACAGTTGTCTTTCATTTAAGAATGATGCTACAATAATTATAAAAGATGTGTTATTTATTAAAAGCTCCGTTGGAGCACCAAAACATGAACAACATGTATAGATTCTATTTTTTGGCTTATAGCATCTCCATTGGAGCTGCTCTTACAAGTCATTGCTTACCAATGAAACCACATGACATAAGGCCATGTTAAATGCAGATCTATAGCCCATGTAGGTCATCAAACCAGTCCACATTGAAAATATAATTTGACCAAACTTGTCACATACATCCACATGTTTTATGAGACACGCAAATACTACAAAAAACACCCACAACTCATTTATATAAAAAAAACAAATTCCATTTCACACGCGGATTCAAAATTGGTACCGTTGAGAAGATACCTAATACAGATGGAAGCCATTATATTCATTCTGGTTGCCCGAGGTGTTTGATGCAGCAGACAACATAGGAGTGCCATTCTTGGGCAACCTTTGCCAACCTTAGACTTCCCAAACAACTGCTTCCTCAAAACCTCATGCAAATGACCAAACAACTCTTTCTTCAATGCCTCAAATGCCAAATCCAATCTCTCTATAGGCTCCATGGCATTCTTGCTGTACATAAACAAACCTAACTCCCTAAGGACTACACTCACTACATTTATGGCACTCTTTTTTAAACACTCCGTATTGTATTTTTTAAAACATACTACAATATAAATTAAACCACCGTGATAATACAATCTGGGTGACTCTACGTCTACGAAAAAAATGGGGATGATCCAACCACTTGCATATACCTGCATCAGAATGAATAACACGGGCCAACAAATGCACTGGTTCATTAGTAGAACGATAAACAAACATAAAGCTAAGATCTTCATCATGAAAGCTTGGAAAATGTTTACAATGGTCAATGATAGAGGAAAAACAAGACCAACATTGGGATGAAAAAAGATAAAGAGTCCACAGTATTCTAGCAGTCTATCTCAATGATCACATGTGTCCAACCTTTGGCCTGTACCCAACATAAGGCTTTCTTAAGTTCTTAACCACGATAGCCTCAAGTTCCAACGCACCAAAGCTTCTTCTGCATCAAATTTTTTTTGTTCCAATAAATGTTCTCTCAAGTCTCATGATCCTAAGCAATAAAATCCAAACTCACATAACTGTCAAAGAGGTCCACCGACTAATCCACATTAACCTTCACAACATGTAATGATTAAAGCCCAATTTACCTCCCCTCAAGCGACCGTCCGGCAGGTTTTGAGGGCCCCTCGGGATGGGGTTCATCCTTTTCACATGTAATGATAACTTTTCACACGTTTGTCGTGACTCATTTGCAAAAAACCCCATGGGAAAGGTGTTTTCGACCACCATTTGTCAATACGCGCACACGCACTCAAACCCAAATGGGAAAGGTAACCTCTCCCCTCCACACTCTTGCATTACGGGCTTTCCAAATCATCCATAGCAAATGCATGGTCAAAGCTTGGTCTCACTAGTGAAAATTCCAAGAACGGTTAGCAACCAATCATGATGGTTATTCACCTTCTTTGGCTAGACTCCAATGGTATTTTAAATTTTTAATGGTTTAAAAAAATGATAAGTCTTAAAGGATTTCAACGTGATGTTCATTGAGTTTTTTTTTTTTTTTTGAAACAATGTTCATTGAGTTTTTGTTATCTTTTAATAGTGAAATATTTTGGAAGAAAAACTTTCTTTACTTCTCAATTTACTCATCAAACAACCACTATTTTCCCAATAATCTCTATCAAATAAAACACCTACAACTGCTGCTGCTATGATGTATCCAACAAACAAAAAGGCTTCCAGCTAAACCATAAGCTTCGTTGAAAGCAACATCAGTATAGATACTTCCCATTCTAAATGAGGCACATCCCTAACCAGGTAAAGTACAGTCTTCAACCCATGTGGATGTTTCAGAATAGTAATCCATGGCTTGGCTCTTCAATCGTGAATCGACAATGCTAGATTTATCTAGTATTACGGCTTAAAATTAAGAATAAAACCACATAATAATTTACAATAGAATGCCATGTTAAAAGAGAGTTGTGTAAATGCAAATATTAATCTAGGCCGTGGCATCAAACCAGTTCACATTGAAAATATAATTTGATTAAACTAGTTGCATCCACATATTTTATGACATTCGCAAACACTACAAAAAAACACCCACAACTCATTAAAAAAACAAATTTCATTTCACATGTGATTCGGATCAAAATTGGTACAGTTGAGAAGATACCTAATACAGATGGAAGCCATCCTATTCATTCTGGTTGCCCGAGGTATTTGATTGAGCAGGCAACATAGGAGTGCTGTTCTTGGGCAACTTTGCCAGCATTGGACGCGTCATCCCAACCTCAGACTTCCCAAACAACTGCTTCCTCAAAACCTCATGCAAATGACCAAACAACTCTTTCTTCAACGCCTCAAATGCCAGATCCAATCTCTCTATTTGCTCCATCGCGTTCTTGTTGTACATAAACAAACCATAGTACAGATCAAAGCTGTCACTTGACGTATTTGCAACCAAATCCAGCAAAGTTTCATATCCTCTGGTGTTAATTGGAGTGCTCTCCAGCTGCAACTTCTCCAAGACTCTCCCCACTGTGTGTGTGATAAATTGCGAACCGGCAGCATACTTGTCATGCTCTGCACAAGTCATCTCTACCATCCTACACCCTTCCTTCTCAAAAATGTTCAAGAAATTGTCCACCCTAGCAAGCCTAGCGTCTTCATTCCCAATCCTAACTTTGTCAAACACAAATGGCAAATTTCCCCAGCTATTTCTTGCACTC